ACTGCTACTACTACTACTACTACTACTACTACGACGACGACGACTACTACTACTACTACTACCACCACGATTACCCTTACTACGGCTAGTCGTAGTAGTAGTAGTAGTAGTAGTAGTAGTAGTAGTAGTAGTAGTAGTGTAAGTAGTAGTAGTAGTAGTAGTAGTAGTACTACTACTACTACTGCTGCGGCTGCAACTGCGACGACTACTACTACTACTACTTCTACTACTACTACTACTAATACTACGACTAATACTACGACTAATACTACTACTACTACTACTACTACTACTACTACTACTACGACTACTATTACGACCATTGGTATTAGACTTGCTCTTTCTACCACCATTGTCATTATTTCCGCTAGTACCACTTTTACTCGTACGACTATCTCTGTTGGTATCACCACTACTACTACTACTACTACGAATACTGCTACTACTACTACCGCTACTATTACTACTACTACTACTACTACTACTAATGCTACTTCTACTTCTTCGACGGCTACTACTATTTCTACGACTAGTACTACTACGACTACGACTACGACTACTACTACCACTACTGCTACGACGACGACTTCTGTTACTACTACCACTACTACTACTACTACTACTACTACTACTACTACTACTACTACTACTACTACTACTACTACTACTACTACTACTACTACGACTACTACTACTACTACTACTACTACTACTACTACTACTACTACTACTACTACTACTACTACTACTACTACTACTACTACTACTACTACTACTACTACTACTACTACTACTACTACTTCGTCTATTTCTTCTACTACTACTGTCGCTACTACGACTAAGCGTGTCTACGCTCAGTCGCGGACGGGTATCAATTCTTTCCGGCGTCCCCAAGTGCTGAAATAACGCTCCGTGCAAGTCTGGGGCGATACCTTGGTGTGGGCAACCCCTTAGGACGGCCGACGAGGAAAATATTCTCATGGGGGAATGGGTATAGGAATCGTATAGGACAGGGGCGGCAAGGAGAAAGAGAAATTGATGAGGAAGGAGGGGCGGTGAAAACGGAAAGGGAATGGAGGAGGAGGAAAAGGAGGAAGGAGAGAGGAACCCACGACTTGCGGTCGACGGGGGAGCCGATACCTTCGCCCGAAGGAAGGAAAAGAAGGAACATTTGCGGTCATTTGTTGCGGCGCGGTGCGGTGCTCAAGATATCGTTCCGCTGAACCCGCCCCCGCGAATTCCGGATTTCCGTTTCGGTGCTGACGACAACATTGGAAGGTTTTTGTTTTGAATTCTTCTTAAAGTTTTGTTTGGGAGATTCGGGGGTAGCACCGCAAAAGCTAAAGATCACACGGGGAGGACAACGTTTAATATTCGGTTGCCACTAATGTGACGTAACTGTGCTTCCAGTTTTGATAAGGATTAGTTTTCTGTTCTTATAAACAAGAAACAAAGCCACGGTTCTGAAACTTCGCAAGTTTGATCTTGTTCCGTTTCAGACAACATCGAAAGGAAGTTGCAACGCATGTGAAATTGTATGCGAAGAGTGTTTTGCTGGTTTGAGTAAACCCGAAAGGAACCCGGAACGAACGTGAAAGGCAACATATGCTACATTGCACCGGTTTCAGTGTGGTTTTGTTTCGGCTTGAACTTCAATTCGATCTGAACCAAAATTTCACCGATACGGAACCGAAGCGACACCGAAACAACACTGAGACGAAACCGAAAGGACACCAAAACAACACCGAAACAAAACCGAATTGAAACCGAAACGAGCCTGAAACGCAAACATACGCGAAAGCGAACCACAGCTGGCACAAACAGCGCAACTGCACTGCGAGCAGTCGGTCGACATTCAAGATTAAGTCATGTAGCTACACGTGGTCAACTTTCGGACGGAAATTGTCATATCCCTTGGAACACTTGCAATTCTTTGCCAGGTTCGGTTTGAGGAAATTTACCCCGAAGCTTTTACATCTCTTCGCAACTCAAGTTTTTCCTGCGATATTGTAGTGTTGCGTCTAATTTTGGTCTTTTCACGGAAAGGCTCTGAGCTTAAGTTAGTTGACCCACAGAGATGACAGCCCTCGCTAGAGAACATTGTCAATCCCACGGGGCATGTTTGAACCAGAGTTGGCTTGAATGCGTGATGAAAGTGCTGCTGGACCCGTGCCAGGAGGAGAACCGGCAGCTCCGCGAGATGGTGACGCAGCTGAAGACAAGCCAGTCCCGCGATTCAAGCTTGGATGTGTTGCACCAGGCCCACGCCATGAGGAAGGATGCAGATGGGGAGTGAGGTTAGGCATTTGCGAGTTGGGGCCAGCAGGCATCCGCAGACGGTGGTGTTGAGCGCTTGTGATGGAGTGCGCTCGACGACTCGCCCGGATGCTGGATAGTTCACGAGCTCGAGCACTGGAGCGTACGTGCAACATGAGCTAGCGCCCGCTCGATGCGATGAGTCTTGGGAGGGCTACATGGGATCACTGCGGGGAGGAGGGCCCTCGAGGTCCTGGCGTCCCAGATCACCGAAGATCTGATGTATGAAACTTAAGTTTTTTCTATTGATTTCGGCCTCTCGGGGGCGGCATCGGGCCCCAGTGCCATCACAAACGGATTCATCGCGAAAAATGACTCCCGGGGACGCGGTCGGGGTTTCTGGGGGCACGGGTAGAACAGATACATCACGGCGGATGTCTGGACTGGTGTCGAGGTTTCCAGGTTCGAGGTTTTACGAGTTGCTGGGCGTGTCCGCGAGACGACCCCACAGGATTGGTGCTTCCGCAGTTTTGCGATCGATGCGAAGGGTGCCCCTCGGTCTTGGGAGCTGGTTTCCGGTATGTGATAACATGTGTTGCGTCATGTTGCAGATTGTGCTGTGTTGCGCCCGAAAAATCGCAAATGAGTTTTTCGTCTGGACTGTGCACAGAAGATCGTGAGAACTTCTGGCGCGAGCCCCTGTCGTCGAGTACCGAGCTTCTTGCGGTGGGTCCCGCCACCGTGCCAGCGCAGCATCGACATACATGCATGATTGTTCGACCGAGCTGCCCAGGAATAACTCAGAATACCATCTGGGGCGTTCCAAAATGGGCCTTGCCTTCGAGTGTGGAAGGAGTTGCCATCTCTTCCGCGGCGGAAGGCGGCGGAAGGTCGGTGGAAGTAAAACGAGGCCGCCTCCGCCGGGGAAGCAGGCGGAAGGGCGGCTGAAGGTGGCGGAAGCAAAAAGTGCGCCCCGAGAGATGAAAACATTGTTGGGCTCAGGGTTTCCGGAATCGGCCATCTATCTCAGTCAGGGCCGTCTTAGGAGCTTCGCTATAATGGTGCGGCGCGGCGCGGTTGAAATTGAGCTTGAGTGGCCGTTGCGTGACCTCTCGAGGGCCGCCCCCTCGTAGCTCCACCTCTCGGTGGCGAGCCGAGGGGGGAAGGGAGAGGGGACAGGCCTCCCCAGAAGGCTGGGTGCCTGCTGAGCCTGCGCCGACCTGGGCGCGCCGCCGAACCTCAAGCCCTCCTCCGCCTCCTCCGGGGCTGCCGCAGGCACACACGACTGTCTCCGCGGCCACCGCCACCATGATGCCGGGAGGCCCGTGCCGCCCAGACCGCAACCCGACGTGGAGGATGACGAGCAGCAGCAGGAAGAGCAGGAGGAAGCTGCCGGCGAGAGTAGCCTTGGCTGGCCTGGCACCACGACGTGACGATGAACGGGGGGAAGGGGGAAGGAGGGTGCACGTCTTGTGCCCTGAGGAGGCCCCTGGGGCCCAAAGGGCACGAAGCTGCGCGTCTCCCCCCCCCCTTCATCGCCCCCATTAATGACCCAAAGCAGCAGGAAGAGCAGGAGGATGTTGCCAGCGAGAGTGGCCTTACCCTCCGCTGGCCGCTGCCGACGCCAAAGTGGTAATTAAGGTTTCGGGCTGCGCACAGACAGCCCCCAGGCAGTCCCGGCTGGTCTCAACAAGCCCGTCCTAAACAGACCCCGCGAGAAGTCCGTGGCGGTCTTAACACCACAACCTTGGGGCGCGGAGCGTCTCGGGGGCGCCGCGGGAGGGGGCGCCAGGTTGTTAAGACCGCCCCAGACTATTCGGGGGGCCAGTACAGGTCAGGCAGAACTACTTGGGGGGAGCTCTCAGTGTGCAAGCGGAACCTTCTCACGCCAAACAGTTTGTGTCGGCTCCCCATTTCGATGTTCAGAGAGATTCGAATCGAAGATCCCATTCTTTCCAAGTTGCCTCAGTTGTGGTGGCTGCGATGGGTGTTCAAGCACGCACACACACACACATCGCGACAACGTGCAAGCAATGGTCCCGTCGCAGTTCAGTCCAAGGCGCGCGAAGCTCAGACGTTGTGAGTCTTGCATGGGCTCGTTTGTACTGATCGAGTATTCGATCTAGCCAGCGTGTCGCGCACAGGAGAAGGAATAATTGAGGCCGATGCTTCGACGACTCGAGTCTGGACCGAACCGCATCGCCGATACATCGATGATTCTGCGGGATCCTTTGGAACCATTTTTCCGGCCCCATTCGGGCGGCCTGGAAAGGGAAAGAAGCCACCATCCCCGTGCGGCAACAAACAGCAGACGGGAGAAATGATGCGTCGATTGAAAACATACGCTTTCCCCCCCAAGGCCACCCCCACGTCGTGTTTTTACATTAAGTTCCCCCTCCCAACGGTCTGGAATCCTTCCCGAGGACGTGTTCTCACCCAGAGTGCTTTTGCAGGTTCCCAGGGCTGGGATCTTTTTTAGATGCCGAAGCTGATCAATCATTGGCAGTCGTTTTCGTTACGGAGCGGGGGAGGGGGGCTCCGGAAGTATGAATGCCCGACCGCGTCTTCACTTTCTCGTCGTTCTGGCCCGTTGCGGGCCCTTGGCCCAGACGGGGTCAGAAACATCATCTTGCTGGGTCGTCTTCATCTTCGACGACGGCGGCGGGTGTGGCATTGGCGACGACGTCGGTGCGTTACCAGTGCGTTGAGTGCGTTTCCAGCCCCTGCCCAGGCCGCCCCCGAGG